GATCAGCAAACACTGATTTTGTCAGAACGGGCACACTGTTTTTATTTTTAAAAACTTTGCTTGATACCTACTGATCCAATATGCAAATTTAGAGAATTCCATTTTGCAAACCTAAAATTTTTGTGAGGTTTTCATTTCATTTTTTCTAGATGTGATGAGTTGAAATTTCCATAAGCTGTATTTGGTTGCAAACAAATGTTGACTGGGTGCAAAATTTGTAATTATGATTTTGCATTCCTTTTGTTTATTTGGCATTCATCCATTTTGCATCATCACTACCTCTAGAGCTATCAATGGATCAGGTCTATTTGACAGAACCAAACCAACCAAATCGATTATGTCAATTATGGTTCTGTGGTTTTGTCCTGATTAATAATTGGGTCTCGATTGATTCTGTTCTGAATCAATTAAGACCCGAACCTATTATATAGTTAATAATATTTATATTTAAGGGTTTCTTGTAATTTTTGTTATACCTTATGTAAAAAATGTATACATTTTACATATTGTATATAAAATATTTTAGTTAAAAATATTTGTTTTATCAACATATAAATGGCTTACTATTTTACTATCATCTTTATTAAGGTTATAATATCAAAAAAATGAAGTTTTAAGTTGTTATTATCACAGATAATTATGGTGTCAACTATAATCGAGTTAATTGAGGTGATACCTAATTATCCCAATTACTAATTGGTTAAGTTTTACATATATTTTCTATAACCAAACATATTAGTATATGTTTGGCCTCGATGCTGATGTGTGGGTTGGAAGTACCGTTTTCTGAGAAAGCAGTGTTTTTTATGGTTTGGAAACATTGCTGCCAGTTAGAACGTTTTCTGGAATAACAATAATATTTTCTGTTTGGTTCCAATGCACCAGGAAACTTTTTCAGCACTGGTACCACTTATCAGTGCTACGTCACTGCCACCTCACGTCCATATTGTCAGCAACAAGCTGCAGTTTCAAGAAACGCTAAATTCGGCGTTGCTCCAAGCCATGCCTTCCCAGTTTTCAAAACGTGACTTAAAATACCATTTTTTATGAAAAAACGATTTCCTAGATCACCAATCTTTTCCCATGTAACACTAATGTGGCACCGTTTTCTGGAACAGGGGCAACGATGCCAACAAGACGGTTAATAGTTGGTAGTTGGTACAAGACTGGTACATCATGTTCTGATTTCTGAACCAACCCCGATTCATTGACAATTCTACCATCCTACCTTAACTCTTTCTCATGAAACGTGGAGACTAGGTTATCTTGCAACCTATCTTGTCCTAAAGAATTAACCTCCTTCTACCTCCATTATTTTTTATTTAAAGTAAATGTCATTTCATTTTTTTCCTATTTTACTTTTGAAAAACAAATAAATCAAAATTGATGATGCACAATCCGGTCGGTCTTAGCTGCCAGTAACCTTGCCTCTGATGGAGTTGAAGATGCCTGAAACAAGGAAGAAATTGGAGATTTCTGGGGAGGAACCTGGTGGGAATACTCTGAAGCTCAAGTTAATACTCTTGAGAAGGCAAGGGAAAATAAGAGATTTCAAGACCAGAAAGCACAAATATCACATACCTCTTTCTCTGGGGAAGAAGGTCTTTTATAATCACCTGGTGCACTCACTCTCAAGCTTCTGCCAAGTCAGGTATAACCGCCTCTATGGGGGCAGACATAACCGCCACTGTCCTCTTTGTCAGGGCCGTCTCTGCCACAACTGAGATGGCGGTACAGGTGGCCGTTACGGCGTGATTGCCATTTGTCAGATATAGACCAATCAAGCGTGCTGCCTCAGAGTACGGACCTATCAGGTACGGTTTCACAGTTGCACGACCTGGAGCTGAGGCGCTGGAGTGGTGCACGAGGTGAAGTCTTGAGTTCAAATGGGAGTATGTCCTACTGTCCTGAGGTGTCGGCATATGGTCCGGACTGACCCGAGGTGGGCTAGTCCAGGCTTTGCCCCTTGTGGGCCTCTGTTAACCTCAGGATTCTTAGGGAGAGCTTGGGTTTCACCTCCCAGGAAGTGTGGGTTCCTTTTGGGGAGCTTGGGCCTCTTCCTGAGGGGCTTGGGAGCTCGGGCCTCTTATTGGAGAGCTCGGGAAGCTCGGGCCTCTTCTTGGGATATAGTCGTGCTATGTCGCTGTGCCGAACTGACGTTCCTGCCATGTCACCCCGGTTTCTTCCACGTATCGCACAGCCAAGGGGTCGGGCCAAATCGACCTCCATCAAAAACCAAATCTAAACCACTTACCCCTTTTGCATAGTAACTTTGTTTATTTTGGTTACAAAGAAATAAAAAAGGGTGGTCCAAGCTAAATTATACATTACTTTATGTGTTTGTTTAGTACTTTTTATTAGTGCAAGGACACGTAATATGCACGTGTACCCAAAGCAAAGCATGTATCCCCTTTATTATAACATGGAGTGTGTTATTTGAAATCATTTAGTTTGTTTTCATAAAATCCATAAATTACATTAATGTTTTTATTATTTTTTTTTCTTTTTCGGTTCACCTGTGCTTTCTCACTTCCATCCGTTTGTGACATATGCCCCCTTTACACGTGTAAATACCTAGACCTACACTTACGATAATACAGTAACGGGACATGTGGATCAGATGGGATATGATAGCCGGGCCGTTCAGATCAATGACCCAGTAGAATTATTTGGGGATTTCAGAACCCCAATTTTCATATCATATTTATTTCTATAAAAATGAAAAAAAAAAGGTTGAACAGGGCGACTGAATGAAAATTGCCTGGAAGTTGAATTGGACAATGGCCAATCCGATCTCATGTGAAACAGAAGGATCAATTGGGTGGAAGTGGGGGCATTTGTTAGACCATATGACCGTGAACCAGTCTCCTTGATTTCCGGGTTTGTGAACGATCCTCCAATTCCTTTTCAGTTCATCATGTCATGTGGATCGATCCAGCTCTGGTCAGCTATGCAATGTCAATTAACCATCCCGATATGATGTCAACTTAAAAAGCTCATAGGTGCCCTAATCCAGCCTCTATCACTACCCAGTAAATCCTTTTCTTTTCTTCTGGAAAATCTGGCAAGTGGCAGGTTGGATAAAAAAGTATGTAAGTGGCCTTCCACTGTAAGAATATAATTGTAAGGTATTGGCACACACACTGGACACATCCATCCTCCTCTCCCGTTTGAAATCAGGCTTTTGCTACTTTTCATGCTTTATTACCAGAAGGGGATGACTGATATGGCAGAGATGTCCAGATGATCTCATTTCTGTTCATTAATTACTAACCAAACGCAGTTACGCATCTGTGTTTGTGTATGTTGAAATTGGACACACAAACAGACTTTACTTTACTTATTAGAGGGGGTCTAAGTCTAACTAACGTCATTTGGGGGAGAAAAATTTCCCCATAAACGATGCAGTATGAAGTACGGTTTGAAACTTGAGAATCCCCTTCGTAATCTAATAATGTGTATGCCATAACGTCACCTACTCTATACCTCCACAACTTGGCCAAAATGAGTGAGAGATCCATTAATTGAACAAGTATTCGTACCACCCAACATTTTCCTTTCCTGGTGATTGGATTCACGTTTCTATCTTCATCTCTCTGCCTGTATCTGTGTGTACACACACATCTCGATCACCAAGGAAGAAAAGCCCATGATCAATTAACCATGAGACCAAACGCTACAAATTAAAGTAAATAGTTCTTTTTTTTAGGGAAATTAATTGAAAACAAAGAATATATATGGAGTCAGTGTTATGATCAAAGGGGTGGTTTAATGCAGCCAAGGAAGATGGAATAAGATCCTTGTTGTGCTGCTGGCTACTTGGGTTGGGCCAGAAAGTTCAAATGGTTGATTGTGGAGAGAGAAGAGAGAATGAGAGATCCATGGACGCCAACAAACAAAACAAATGAAAGATAATCAATTATTAGAGAACTAACGGGCGGATGTTATAGATCGCGCTTTAACGTTACACCAAAGACACACCGCAGAACAGAAATGTGACCGTTAACCCAACTCTCCTCTTCTCTTCTCCGCGTTTTATTGTAGAAGTTAGAACCAGAATGAGAACGTTATATTGGAGAGACGACAGAGAGTGACCCACCACCAACATTTCTCTTTCACTCGCTCTCTTAGCTGTCCCTCCTCTTCTCTCCCCAACGGGAAGTAGGGGTCGGGGACCACCCCAGAGAAAATTATCACCAACTCCTGTCGTTTATGTTTCTCTTTCAATTTCTTTCTGTTTTCTTTTATTTACAACTAGGCACGTATATAGGTATAGCCAGGGGAGCCACCGTAACACCGAACCGTGGGCCCCATCTAAATAGGCGGTGCCCGACTGCCCGTTCCACTCTGCACTGCACTCTGGTAATTACGCCACCACCACCAAGTCACTTGTCATCAACCAATCATGTTGTCATTGCATTCTCACTTGACACTTGTGAGTTGTGACGACCCTATTGGGGCCTTCTGGTGGAATGGGTCCCACCTTAATCTCCCTTTTAATCTGGATGGGTCTTATTAGGCTCTAGCCGACGGCATTAGATCTCCCTTTTTCCGGTACACCTCCTCGGTAATATTTGTTTTTTCATCCAAGGACCGTTTTACCCATGTGAATGAAAGAAATGTAAAGCTACATCAAAAAGGAGAAACAAAATTATGGTCATACCGGAATTAATGAGTGGTGGATTTACACGAGTCGGTAATGTGTGCAGAGAATCGTTTCATATGATACGTGTAATGAATCTATTGGATTTCTTCTTATGACGTGTAAAATCCACAGCCATAGTACTTTTGGAATTGGCCGGTCACATGATACAAGTCAGATTGGGTCCACTGACAGTCTGGGTTGGGTTGGGCCGCCACATAGACACGCAATTTTGTTTTTGTTCGTTATCGCCAGATGGGCCCCCAAACGGAGAACCTTCGTTACACATTGATCTAAATAAACCCTAGTGTTAGCAGTTACTCTGTTCATCAGCGCCTATTTATTCTCTCCTCTACTGCCACTTCTCTCCACTCCCTTTATTCATTCTCTCTCTCTCTCTCTCTCTCTCTACCGTATTGGGCACACAGATTCTAATTTCTAAGCCGGGAGGAAGAGAGAAAGCAGTGTGCGTTGTGGAATACGAGACAAAAGAGAGATGGGTCGGAACACTATACTGACTCTTGCCTTCGTCTACATTGCCGTGGTTGGTGTTAGCGGCCAATCTCCGGCCGCAGCACCCACCACCTCTCCCGGAACTTCTACTTCGGCCACACCTGCTGCTTCCCCAACTGCCAAGGCCGCTGCTCCAACCACTACTAAAACCCCTGCTCCTGTCACACCTCCCACTTCCTCACCCCCGACTGTCGCTTCTTCTCCGCCAGTTTCAGCTCCTAAGGCTGCTCCGCCAACCCCAACTGTTCCCGCTCCGGTCGCAACTCCACCTGCGGCTGCTACTCCACCACCGGCTGTAGCTCCAGTTACCGCTCCGGTGCCGGTAAGCTCTCCACCATCGCCTCCACCTGTTGCATTGTCTCCTCCGGTGCCTGCGCCGACCACTCCGCCAGTGGCTTCTCCTCCGGCACCGGTGGCTTCCCCGCCTGCAGAGGTCCCAGCCACGCCCGTGGAGGTTCCAGCACCGGCCCCGAGCAAGAAGAAGACTAAGACTAAGAAGCACACTGCCCCAGCCCCGTCGCCCAAGGCACTGAGCCCCCCTGCTCCACCAGCAGAGGCTCCAAGTCAGGATGCTTCCTCGCCGGGACCATCTGAGGCCGCTGACCTGGTACGTTTTCATGACATAAATTTCCACTTTAATTTTACGAGGAGTTTAGTATCACATTGGTATGTTCGTTGTTGGATCTACACTACTGTTGCCGTTCGTTAAACCTGGAAATGAGATCTGGACTGCTTGATTCAGATCAGATCAGATCTGGTGATCTTGGCATTTTAATTTTTATTTTTGAGTTTGTGGCAACGCACGCAGCGACCCCAGTATGGTCGGCCGCCGGACCTGGGCTTAGTAATTTATTTCCGATCTAATCGTCGCTTGGGCTGGGATATTTGGCAGCGTAAGATGGATAAGAATTCATAGATCAGGGAGGGATTAGTATAGTAGTTGGAGCCGCTGCCAAGTACCAAACTGCCAAATGCCAATGCCATCTGATCTCCCTTCGTCATAATTGGTGTTTCGTGTGCTCAATGGCTTAAAATTTGCTTTGACCTTTAAAAGAGGAGTAGCAGCAGCAGTATCAGTAGTGCAGAGACTACTCTCTCTCTCCACTGTCAGCCTTTGTCTTTGATTCTCTGTTTGTTCGGACCAGAAGCACGTGTAGCTGCCAACTGTCGGACTCTAATTAAAATCAAATCGCTATTATTACTACTGGCTCGTATGTCAGTTAATTAATCCTAAGTCCTGAGTCCTTAGTCTCCTGACTTTTGAGTCCTGATCCCCACCTCTCTCTCTCTATCTTGGTTAACTATTGGAATAGTCACCGTTGGATATTGAATCATGAACAGATAACCTCGACGGCATAGATGCAAAGTCATCTGATTCAATGCCGTAACCAAGGCAGAGAACGTAATACGGCAGCAGGTAATGCCAAATGGGACTGCTGCCGTTGGCGGAACAATACACTGAAAAATGTAAAATTTTCAATCTCGAGAGTGGAGGAAGGACAGGAAGCAGTACAGTAGGATTTCCTTGGGTGAGTGGGTGGGTCAGTGATGAATTTTCTTTTAATTAATTAAGTATTAACTTGTAATACTAGCATTAATGTGGGTATTAAATTACGTTTTCTTTGGTGCAGAGCGGAGTTGGAAAGATCTGGAGCGTTCAGAAGATGGCTGGAAGCTTGATCCTTGGATGGGGTGTCCTCCTCTGTTTGTTTCTTTAATAGTTAGAGAGAGAGAGAGAGAGCATTTGATTTACTGGTCCTCATCTGCAGTTCATTGTCTCTTGGTGGTGGTTCTTCACTTCTTGGTTTATTTTTCATATTTTTGTATTATTATTTTTGGGAAGACCTCTGTACTATTTACTTTTGGATTGATTGATTGATTAAATTTAGTGGGGGCACTGGCCGTGTTCGCGCACACATGACATGAGCATAGAGAGAGAGAGCATACACATACATACAAACTTGTTCATGATGCATTATGGAATGCATGTTGTCTCGTACTGGGGGGATTGTTTCCGTACACCAATCCAACAATATCATGATTCTTTTATCTTTCGACGGTTGGACGGTTGGGATTGGAGCATATTGTCTCGTAGTTTGTAATTAATTCACTTCACTATTATTATTTTATTTTGGTGATAGGAGCCATATTAGCCGTAGCCATGTCCAGATGATGATGTCCTACGGTCCTACGGTCCTAAGGTCCTACCCTCTTGTCCCCTTCAAAATGTCTCTGGGCCTCAATTATGTCATAGTATATAAGTATAGTGGTAATAAGAAATAAGCTTAGAATAAGATATTACATATTTTGTATACCTCTGAAGAAACTGTGATTGGAGCATAATTTTGTATACCTCTGTGTCTACAAAAAAGTAATGTTATGTATACGGGGCGTGGAGGATTGAAGGAATTTGTCCCAAATTTACTCTGTTAGGTTTGACTTGAATCTGGATTCGGCAGATCCAAGTCCCCAGGTGGAAATTGAATCTCTTGTATCTTAGAATAAGATATTACATAGTGGAATTGACAAAGTAGAAAAGAAGATGATGGTTGGGGATCAATTGAAAAAGAAATCAAGGTTCTCTAGATTAAATGACACACTCAAAGGGCACTGGGTCCACATGTTTTGTCCAACCATTTCTATCAAAATTATTAGGGAATCACAGGCAAGAGTGTGGAAGACATGGTTGAAGAGTTTTTCTTAGAGAGCTGAACAATGCTTTTATTGTTTAGAATTAGATACCTAACAATTTCTTCTAATAAGCCTGTGCAAGGCTTCTTGTAAGAAGAAGTTTTGACAAACAAGCTAAAGCACGTGCCTACTTTTGCTGTAAGATTTATTTCAGATAAAATTCTCTTTTGACTCGGGAAATGGTTCATACTGTCAAAAGTGTTGAAAAAAAAAAAACTAATAGTTTATTAAACTCTTGTGATAGAGTCTGAATTCTTTTTTTGTGATCATATCATGAAAAAATCCACTTGTCCAAAATTGAGCTACGGACAAGGGGGATAAGGCAAGCCGACTTCTTGTCTCCTTTTCTTTCTGTGCTAAGATTAACAAGAGAAGTCCCAACATTTCTCATTTTCTCTTCGCAGGTGATAGCGCAAGAACATTATAAAAATTTTGAAAGGTTGGAACAAAGGCTTCAGGGAAAAAGATAGGTGTGCATAAAATGGAGGGAGATCTTTTTCAGTAAAAATACCCCTCGATAGATTCAGAGGTTGTTAGCAAAACTCATGGGCAGAGATGGGCTGTTACTTGCTTCCAGGTAGTTATTGAGAGAGAGAGAGAGAGAGAGCAAAATCTTTCATGCCATGGCCAGCTACTTGCTTCCAGGTAGGTTGTGTAACTTGCTAGACAAATGACAACCTAAGTTTTGGGGGGGGGGGGGTTGTTCGGCTTTTGGGTAAGGAAATAAACTCGATTGGCTGGGCTACATTTTGTTTTGTCAAGTCAAAAAGATGGCGGGTTAGGACTCAAAAAAAAAAAAAACCCTAAAATTTCAACTTAGCAAAGTTGACAAAACAGGGGTGGAGAGAGGCTTCTGAACCGGAGTCACTTCCAAGCAAAGTGTTCAGAGCTAAATATTTTCCAAATAAGAGCTTCGTTGAGGCTGTTAAAACATCAATTGGCGGCTGGGATAGTGTTAAATTCTAGACATTGGTTGCCTATGGGAGGATAGAAAGTGGGAGATCCATCGGGGTTAATTTGGTACGACATTAGGATCCTCAACATGCTTCTTTCCAGGATTCCAGGGCAGAAACCAAGCAAGGTGGTGGATCTGAGGATGTACGATCTCATTGATCCCACAGCTGGAAGAAGGAGATGGTAAGAGAGTTGTTGCCGGAGAATATAAGCGAGTTAATATTGAAGATTTACAGTGGACCAGCTACAGGCTACAGCTCTACTGCGTCCACCAAAAGTCTGGTGACTTCTCCTATCATATAGCTCAGGACCTGTTTAACTAGGAGGTTTTAAGCCGTCAACCGGATAAATGGGCTTTTTTGGGCCTTAATATATTGCATTTGACTTTTTTTTTTTTTGCAATGAATCTTGTGGATTATCATTATGTGCTGATATGAGAACCTTAAAAAAATGGTAGGATCCATCGTATGGACGTCAAAATGTTGCGGAATGAAAGGGTGAATTTCAAATATTTTCTACATTTCTTCCAACTGGAAATCGTATTCTCTGATTTTAGAATCAAAATTCAAGGATTCTACTTGAACCAAACCAGACCAGATCTGAACCAAAGATCAAGGGAAGAGTTATACCTGATATGGAGAATCAAAATCTCCCAACGTCGGTGTTCACGCCCAAAGAAAGATCCAAGATTTGCTCCCGCTGAAGATGATACAGCGATGGTGGGGCAGAACCAACAGTGTATGTCTCACGTACCGAATTCTTCACAAAAACTCGTTGGAGGCTTAGAGCATTGAACCAAATCAGCCTTTCAGCAAAGACTGATATGAAGAACAGATTTCTTGATTCTCCCTTCAATGGAGTTCGAACTATGCAGCAAGGTGGCGGCGGCTGGAGGAGATCCCTAAGCTGAAAGTGGCGTGAATGCAGTTTTCAGCTTAAGGAAGATGAGATCCTATCTCAGATTGCAGAGAGTGTTAACTGCTAAAACCCTAGGTCGAATTTTTGTAATTCTTTTTTAGGGTTTTCTCCTTTCTTAGTGATTAAGAAACCTCTTAATCCAATTAGGAGTTATCCCAATTCAAATTTGTATTTGGATAGGGGATAATCTTAATCCTATCTACAGATTAGATAAGTCCATTCCTGATCTCATCAGCAGGTTAATCCTATCTGCAGATACGCCCCCTAAAGTGGGTGATCATATCAGCCCAATTCAAAATGGGCTTTTAGGCCCAATAAGTAATTAATGCTCAATAAGTTTCCAAATTGCTGCCCAGTTGGGCTTCTTTGTATGGCGTGGGACCTAAGCATTGATCTCCACATCAGTGACATGGGTCCGACCCAACCTTTGTTACAAAGCTTAGCCGAATTCACTAGAAAGCCCAGTGAACCCCTTGAGCCCATCACATGGACCCTATGGGCCCAACACTTACACTAAGTGGTTCCTGTGTCAAGCCATTTTATAAAAACCTAGGGACTGTGGGCAGATGCAAGATTAGCTCATCAGGTATTATCCTAAATAGCCTTACACTTAACCTCTCAGCCCATAATGATCAAGCACTGCCTGACAAGAGAGGACYTCTCCCTCGGCTGCAAGGAACAGTGCTGCACTCTCTACTCACATAGATCTCGTGATTTAAAACCATTTGCAAACATTTTGAAATCATACATAAGTATTTATCATATATATAGATTTTGCAAAACAAAATTCTAATGATTGAAATCAATTGCCGGTAGTTTGGTTTCCATCAGA